TACAGAAATTCTCACAATAGGTAGGACTATCAGAATAATTAGATACTACGTTAAACTATATAAAATTAAAAAGTACATTATAACGTATTGTCAAAATTATTTACATGTAAACAAAAATATTCAGAATAAGGTAAATGAGGCATATGTCTACAGTATACATAAGAATCATCATTATGTAACACTGTAGATTGTCTTATATCTTGCATTAAAAAAATCAGAGTACATATTTGGAGTAAAACTTTGTCTTTCATCTCACTCATTCCAAAAGGCAGAAAATCAGAGTATTTTTCAGGCCCCCCCCCAATTTCCTAATTTTTTCATTGGAAAAACTGAAAACGGCTTGAGAAATGAAAAAAATGAAATGGTATACATTTTGAGCATGAAAATTCTTATCTGTAAGAAGCAATTCACTCATTCCAAAAGAGAAAATATTTCATAGGAGTGTTTTTTCGGTGCTCGACAAAATTTCCCAATTTTTCTGTTGGAAAAACTGCCCAAAAAATCCTTAAACGGAAAGACTTCCTCCTGATTTTTTTCCTGTGTTCTCACATGTCTAGTCAACCCATATTGTTTTTCAGTGTTAGAAATGTACTTAAGAGTTGTAGACTTCCCTCTGCTAAGAGAAACACTTTTATTTCTTGAAGATTTGCTTGCATCCTTGAAATATACTGAAGAACTGACAGTGCTGCTCTAAGAGAGCTGCTAAATAATGTAGACTAAATGGCAAGGCAACTAATTGGGTACTGGTTGTTATACAACATTCTGGATATTAAGAATATTTATTTGCATTGTTTTAGGACTATGATGCCCAAGTATATTTTTAATTTTAATTTTATTTAAACTAGCAAAATCCCAACTGAGCTCTGGTTGGATGACGTGCATTAAAATATATCAAGCCTAGAGAAGTGGTGGTTTAGAGGAGTGGTAGGGGAGAAGGAGCTGCGGTGGCTCAAGTGGTTAAGACGCTGAACTGCAGGCTGTGGAAGGTCAGTAGTTCAGCAGTTCAAGACCCGAGTTGCCGCATGACGGAGTGAGCTCCCGTCTCTAGTTCCAGCTCCTGCCAACCTAGCAGTTCGAAAGCAAGAAATTGCAAGTAGATAAATAGGGACCACTTCGGTGGAAAGGTAACAGCGTTCCGTGCGCCTTGGTGTTTAGTCATGCCGGCCACATGACCACAGAAACGTCTTTGGACAGCGCTGGCTCTTCGGCTTTGAAACGGAGATGAGCACCGCAACCCTAGAGTCGGATTCCTGGCTTTCGAGCAAGGGAACCTTTACCTTTACCTTTCTTTGCCTTAAAGAATCCCAAAGCGGCTTACAATCGCCTTCCCTTCCTCTCCCCACAACAGACACCTCGTGAGGCAGGTGGGGCTGAGAGAGCAGCTCTGAGAGAACTGTGACTGGCCCAGGGCCACCCAGCAGGCTTCATGTGGAGGAGCGGTTCTCCAGATTAGAGTCCGCCACTCTCAACTGCTACAGTATGCTGGCTCACCATGTTACATCTCCCATTGACACTGGTAGAAAAAATTCTTGTAAGTGGTGGAGTCCCCCCCCCCCCCCCCCTACTTTTTTCCCATTGTCTCACTAGAAAAAGTGGACATTTGAGGGGGCATTGAGAAAAACTCCTTGGATACATTTTCTCTTTTGGAAATATTTTTGAAGGCATGGTTTTGCTCACAATGTAGTGAGGGGGGCTGTGGCTCTTTGATAGAGCATCTGCTTGGCATCGCCAGTTAAATGGACTAGGCGGTGATTGATGTGAAGGACCTCTGCCTGAGACCAGTGTTCCCTCTAAGCTTGAGTTAGTGTGAGCCAGCTCACAGTTTTTTAGCCTCCGGCTCACACGTTTTTGTCTCAGCTCAGGAAGGGATGGCTCCAGAGCAAACTAATTTTATGCAGCAGCCAAATCGCTCGCTCACAGCCTTAATGCCAGCAGCTCACAAAGTAGAATTTTTGCTCACAAGACTCCACAGCTCAGAGGGAGCATTGCCTGAAACCCTGGAGAGCCATGGAGAGGGGTTGTGGCTCAATGGTAGAGCATCTGCTTGGCATACAGAAAGTTCCAATTCCAGTCCCCGGGCATCTCCAGTTCAATTGGTCAGATAGCAAGTTATGTGAATGTATATTATGAAGATTTTTCTGTGACATAATCTACAGCATTAGATAATGATAATTCCTGTGCATACTGTCCATATCCAGAATAGTTTGAAGGATATGTTTGTTAGTCATAAACTGAATGTCATGAACTTGCTTAATTTGGTATAATGTGTATGACAATAACATGCTATTGAAGCGTACACTATTTTCAGTGTAATGAATTTTGAAATAGGTTGTTAGCCTTCTCGTGACTGCATGAGACGATTCTGGTCCAAATAACATAGTTTTGTTGATTACAAAATTTCTGTGTTCGTCTTTCTCCCCTGTCTCTTTGGGTGCGGTCACACAGATAAAATGGAGGGAGGGGGGGGAAGCGAGGCTATTTCCTCTGGAAGAATTTGACCCGCAGTTGCATGCTCACACCTCCCTTCAAAGTTGCGGGCGCAGTCCGTCAGTGTGTGATCAGACGTAACTGCGGGTGAGTCCCTTTTTTGTGCCGTTTTATCCCCATACACTTAAACGAGGAAACAATGGATCTCACCTCCGCACTGAGGGCTCTCTATGGAGTTTGCGATGATGCGCATACTGCGAAGGGGGGGGGAAGGTATGGAGTCAGGATGGCTTGATCAGACCATCCCAACGGCATGAGGGCACACTGGAGCGATCAGACATGGGAAATTCCATCTGTGGCCCGTCATAACCCGTTTTCTACTGGATTTTCCCCAGTGTCTTTTAACTTTTAACTCCGCTTCTGCGGCGGAACAGAACAGGTTGCTAACGGCTGTGGGGCGTTTCCCAGATGTTGTTGTCTGATCGCGCACCTAAGTTGGGTCTAATTGTGCGTATGATTGCAGCCTTACACTGAAAACGCAAAGCTATATGTGCTAAGGTAGCATAGGGTGCAGCAGTTTGCAGCTCTCTTTCTTTCGTATTCGACGCATTTGTCATTTTGCTTCCAGGAAAGTAAGGCATTTATACTTTTATTAATATGCCAAGTAGTACATTTTTATATGGTAACTAATTTATAAAGGGTACATTTTATCTGCTAACACGGTAAAGTAAGTTGAGACTTGATAAGGAAATAAGGGTTGCATATATTTCAGTTTCCCGCCCCCCAAATCTTCATCCTGCCCTCCCCCACCCCTACCCCCTGGAAAAAACAAACTTGATTTTTTTTTACCTTGGCTTTTACCTTAAAAATTCCTGGAAATCTGTGATCAAAGCCATTGTCATATGCCAAGTTAGGCTTTCCTCTAAAAGCCAACCCGAACAGATAGGTATGGACAGAAAGAGACTGGACTACTGTCCAGTCTATGCAGGGCTACCTTTGAAGAAACTGCAAGTGGTCCAGAACACAGCTGCTAGAGTGCTGACAGGAGTGTTCTGGTCAGCTAATATAAAACCTATCCTACAGCAGCTGCACTGGCTCCCAGTTAGTTTCTGGCGCCAGTTCAAAGTGTTGGTACTTACCTTTAAAGCCCTAAATGGCCTGGGACCCTCATACCTTCAGGACCACCGGTCTCGGCATGATCCTCCTCATCTTCTCTGATCTTCATCTCAGCATTTATTGAAGGTCTCTGGTCCATGAATGGTCCTCCTTGTGACAGCAAGGGCGAAGCCTTCTCGGTGAGTGGCCCCCGTCCTGTGGAACCAGCTGCCTGAGGAGATGCGTGCCTTGCGGGACCTCCCTAGGTTCTGCATAGCATACAGACCTGCTCTTTTTCAAGTGGCCTTTGGGCGATTCTGATCTACCAGGCAGCTGGTATACTTCAGCTGTGTCTTCACCATCCAGCCAGCCTACCCGGCTTGATAGTGGATAGATTTCAATGGGGATAGATTTTTAATCGGTTTATATTTTTAAAGTTTATTTGTCGTGTCTTTTGTATTGTTTTTATCAAGCTTGTTTTATATGCCATTAGCTGTTCCGAGTCCCGTTGGGGGAGAGGGAGCAGGATATAATAATCATTACCATTATTATTATTAATAATAAATATTATTATGATAATATCTTTGGGAGCTATTTGGAAGGAAGGAAGCATCAGTTGCAAATACTTATGGTGGAAGTGGCAAGGTGAACTGGTGTCTTAGGCATATAAGTATGTGTAAATTAGTTCATTCAGTGGTGACAACTAGCAGGAGCCCAGGGGTGTGTGTGTGTGAATTGCTGTTGCTCCAACAGCATGACACCACTTCCAGTGCAAACCTGGAAGTCATTCTATAGTAAAGTCATAGAGTTCCAGTGGAATCCTAGAGTGTGATTAACACATGGAATTCACTGCCACAGGAGGTGGCAGTGGCTACAAGCTTGAACGGCTTCAAGAGGGAATTGGATAAACATATGGAGCAGAGGTCCATCAGTGGCTATTAGCTACGAGATGTAGATAGGAACTCTCAGTCTGGGGCAAGGGATGCTCTGTACTCTTGGTGCTTGGGGGGGTGGGCCACAGTGGGAGGGCTTCTAGCGTCCTGGCCCCACTGCTTGGACCTCCTGATGGCACCTGGTATTTTTAGCCACTGTGCGACAGAGTGTTGGACTGGATGGGCCATTGACCTGATCCAACATTGGCTTCTCTTATGTTCTTATGTGGCCCTGGTGCAATGATGTCACTTCCGGATTGGCACCAGAAGTGACAGAGCAATGGTGATTTCCCCCCCCTTTCCCCCCCTGCCACCCTACCAAACAATGGTGGGGGAACGGGGATGCCCATCTGGAGGCTTCCTGCCAGAGTGGCAGATCTAGCAGCCTTATATCCAAGGTTTGTATTATATTGCCTAGTTTAATATATGACTTTTAAGAAGTGTAGCCCGTTACAGTGTGCTGCTAATGTTGTATAACAGCTTTTGGGGGGGTCATCTAGTAATTTTGAATGTTTCTGGAATAATTGTTTTGCTTTGTTTCAACAGGTTGATGAATTGAAAGTGCCTTTGCGAAGTCACTTGTACAAGAGACAACTTCTCTGTCATTGTTAAGATTTGATTTCTGCCGGCTGAACATTGCTCTTATCTTCTATGTCGTCCGTGGCAGTTTACCAGCTGCTTGATGGGAAACTGATTCCAGCATTTGAAAAGCCAGAGGAAAAGATTAGGCCGGGCACGAAAACCGCTGAATGTATAGCTCTTCGTATATAATCGTTGCCAACGCAGAGGACACAAGAAGCTCAGATGTTACTGAGGAGCGTCGTTGCATGAAAACAAAGCTGAACACAAGTGTGTCGACAAAGCCAATCAACGAGCCAGAAATGCTATGGAGCATGAATATATTGCAGCCAAAAGTTTACAAGTGGCACATATTGATTGACTGACAGGCTTGCTGATAAATAGTAGCTCATTCAGCTCTGTGCCTAGTGGGCTCTGCTAAACATTTCTTACTTCATCACTGCTGGGAGCTATTGTCTCTGAAAGACTTTCAGTCTTGGAGTGATTTCAAGTCACTCCCAAATCAGTTTTGCACCATGGCTTTGAATGTCGCTCCTGTCAGAGACACAAAATGGCTGACGTTGGAAGTGTGCAGACAGTTTCAGAGAGGAACTTGTTCACGCTCTGATGAGGAATGTAAATTTGCACATCCCCCGAAAAGCTGCCAGGTTGAAAATGGAAGAGTTATTGCCTGCTTTGATTCTCTAAAGGTGAGAATAAAAATTTGCACGTAGCAGTGGTGGCAAATGGGAGGTCTATAGCAAATGTTTTAAGGATGTTATTCGCGTTAGGAACTGAGATCTAATTGATCATTAAGTCCCGAAAAGTGTTGCACTGTTGATGGTATTAAGCAAATACTCTGTGCCCATGTGTAGATGAATGCAGAGCCTTTGTAAGGAATTTGTAAGGAATCTGAGACCGGGACCTTTTTTGCTGAGCTGTCTTAGACTGTGGGCCTAGGTTGCAAGCTCTGGCTTGGGAAATACTTGGAGATTTTGGGGGTGGGGTTTGGGGAATCTCTGCAGGATGTAATGTCATAATGTCTACCCTCCAAAGTAGCTGTTATCTCCAGGTGCCACTTGGAGGTTGGCCGCCCTAGTCAAAAGGGCCACTCTGTGTGATCTAGTCAGTTGAAATAGCGGGAGATCTCCCGGTGCTGCCTGGAGGTTGGCAACTTTTCTGTGGGTGATTAGAAGAAGGAGAGATTGGGTTTATACCCTGCCCTTCACTCGGAGACTCAGAGCAGCTTACAATCTCCTTCCCTTCCTCTCCCCACCACGGGCACCCTGTGAGTTAGGTGGGGCTGAGAGGGCTCTTTGAGAGCTGGTCTTGAGAGAACAGCTCTGAGAGAACTGACTTGCCCAAGGTCGCCCAGCAGCTGCATGTGGAGGAGTGGGGAATCAGACCTGGTTCTCCAGATGAAAGTCCGCTGCTCTTAACTGCTACACCAAATTACCTCTCAGACCCCTCTTCATTAAAGAAGGGGATAAAAGCAAGAGTCCAGCAGCACCTTAAAGGCTAACAAAATTTGTGGCAGGGGATGAGCTTTCGTGAGTCACTGCTCACTTCTTCACATCTTCTGAAGAAGTGAGCAGTGACTCACGAAAGTACATACCTTACTGCAAATTTTGTTAGTCTTTAAGGTGCTCCTGGACTCTTGCTCTTTTCTGCTGTTGCGGACAGACTAACACAGCTACCCATCTTTTTTTTTTTTTTGCCCCCCCCCCCCCCAAAGGGGGTTTTTTTAATTTTTTT